CGCCGAAGAGCTTGTTTTTCTGTAGCATTTGTTTGAAACCTAAGAAATCCCGTCTATGGTCCTTATATTGGGCGGAGTGGTCTAGGTAGTGGTTCAAGTATTCTAACGCATGTGAGGAGACTAGTTCGAACCAACACCTTGCGGGATGGCCTCTGTGTCTTGATTTAGTAAATTTGATGCGATCTTTGTACCCGGGGGAGAATACTACATGGTGTTGGGGGAGGTGTGGCGGAGTAGTCGTGGCTTGTATAAGGAGCTTGAACTGTTGCGACAAAAGGGTTTGGGAAGGGATGGGATGTTTTCCTGAATTTTTCCCATACGGTTTTGTTGGGGATCCGGGAGTAGTATGAGGCTTTGATGTTGATGGCTCTTCTGAGGTACCTAAAATACCAGCCGTCTATGGTTCTGAAGTGGTGCTTTTCAAGGGTAAGAGTTTCCAGGGCGTACGTATATACTGGGACGATGCAGGCGTGGAAGATTCTAGATTTTACTGGGCGGGGTAGTCTGCTCTGCCATACATGTTGGAGCTTTAGGAAGGCTGCGTGAGCTTTAATAGACCTGGCTGCGATTGCGGATTTGGTTGGCTTGTCCCAAGTAACCTGTGATCCTAAATACTTGGTTTCGGAATTTAAGGGTACAGGAGAGTTATCTGCGTACTGGAGTTGCCCTGGCTGAGTGGGGTGGCGGAGTAGCTCGGTTTTCTCTAAGTTTAGCTGCAGACCGTAAAGGGTGGCTTCTACCTGGACAGCTTTCAGGATCTCCTCTAATTGTGCACCCGTGACACCCATAAGTAGAGTATCGTCCGCGTACTCTAAATCGTAGATGGGCTTGCCTACCGACCATGTGTTTTGTGGAACGCCATGTGTTCGGAGTCTAGCGTCAACGTCTGAAAGGAGTACTGTCATTACCATGATGAATAAATAAGGGCTAAGTGGACATCCCTGCCGAATACCTGTGTGCGGAGTACCCCAGTGCTTAGTACCATCAGGAGCAGATGTGCAGAAGGTCGGGCAGGTATACATATCCTTAATGACTTCGAGGTAAACAGGGTGAACCCCAAGGCGGAGTAGTGCTATGTGCATGGATTCATGGTCGATCTTGTCAAAGGCTTGCTTCCAATCTAAAAATAGCAACTGAAATGGCTGACCTGTTTTGGCGGAGTAGTCTTGTAGCCGGCGCAGAATGAAAAGTGGTTGCGTTGTTCCTTTGTTTCGGCGGAAGCCGAACTGCGTGTGGCGGAGTGAGTGATCGTGCGCCTCAGCTAGTCTTTTTTGAAGCATTGCTGCGTAAATTTTATAAAAGACGTTGAGAAGGCTGATAGGGCGATATGAGGCAGGATCTGAGGTGGGGCCTTTACCTTTGTATATGCTGACGACCAGGGCCTCCTTCCATGCTGCAGGTATTCTACCCTGGCGCAAGCAGGCGTTGTAGAGGCGGAGTAACTGTTTTTCCCCAAAGTGATCTAACAGTTTGATGGAGTCGGCTCTGAGGGTGTCTAACCCCGGAGCTCTGTTTTTGCGCAGCTGCTGGATAGCTTCGGTTAATTCTTCATGTGTGAATGAGCTGGGCGGAGTGGTAGGGGGAGGATTGAGCAGCGGAGATTCAGCGAGAAGTGTTCTTTCTTCCGCGGTGACCGTAGTTTTTCCCCATTGTTGTTGGTCTAGGTGGTCCCGAAAGGTTTGGTGGGTTTTGTGCCACGGTACTGGTTTGCCGTTGTGTTTGAGCCTGGTGTGTCTGGGTTGGAATCCTTTTTTAAGGCGCCGGGCCTTGGTCCATACCGCTGTGTGGCTGAGGTTAGTATCCTCTAGAAAAGAGTCTCTGAGCCAGTCCCTTTTGAGTTTGCGTGCTTTGCGTTTAAGGGCTTTGTAAAAAGCGATATGTTCGGGGTCCATGTTGGAGCGCAGTTGTTTGGCCTTGGCTATGTCGGCTGCTAGTTGAGGAGTAATCCAGGGCTGTTTGGGGAGATGTTCGAGAAGGGGGAGGGTGGAGCGTTCGGCGGCTTGTAGGGAACTGATTAGGTGGGCTGAAAGCTCATCAGTTGATTGCGCTAGAGCTGGCGGAGTGGTGAGGTTGAGGTTGCTGGGGTGTACGAAATGAGGGAGCGAGGATCTCCCTCCTGTCGGGCGTGACGCGGTCTTGCCTTTGTCTGCGAGTTCGTCCGCGCGTTCATTGTATTCGTTGCCGCTGTGACCCTTGATCCAATGCCATTGTACGGAGTGCTTGGTTTCTAGAGTCGTGCAGATGTCCTTTGCTATTTTAACCATTGCTTTGTGACGCTTTGGTCTGGTGTGACCGCGCATCATATCTGCTGCCCATTTGCTGTCGTAGTGAAACGTTATGGTTTGTGGCGGAGTAGTCAAAGAAAGGATGTGCAAAGCCGCTTCCATTAAAGCACTTAATTCACCTGTGTTGTTGCTGCCTACGACTGCGCCTAAATAATATACTGAGCGCGTGTCCGTGGTGACCGGACCGTGAGAGGTGGCTATTTCCTCATCGTCTTCTATGATAGCGTAACCCCAACCTGCGGGAGTAGTGGCCGAACATCTCCCCGGAGGAGCCCGAGCCATCTGTGTAAATTTCCCAATGGGAAGAAGAAGTGGCGGAGTAGTCTGGGGAAGGGTGGCCCATAGCCACACGAAAGCTTTGGTTGAAATGTTTGCGTTGTTGGGGGGTGATTGCGGAGTAGTCTCGCTTAGGGGGCAGGAGTACTGGAGGTGGGCGGGCAGAAAGCTTAACCCTTATTGTGGACTCTAGGAGGTAATGATCACTGGGAAACCCTGCTTTGTGGAAGGCTTGGCAGGATAATACTGTGGGTAGCCACTTCTGTCTAGTGACCATTCTGTCTAGGGATTGGAAGCGCAAGGGGTCTACCTGTGGGCGGAGTAGCTGTGCCGGTATGGGCCATGAATCCGTAATGTAGTCTCTGATGTTGGCTGCGAGGCAAAGATTGTCTGGGTCAGCTTGAGGAAGACTATATATTTTATCCCAGAACTGGGTCCATCCTATGGGGTCGCTAGCAAATTGGAGCCAATCTGTAGGGGGCGGGTGCTTATCTCGATAGGCGACGTGCTTTGTAAGGTTGGGCTGTTTGAAGGTTAAGATGTCCTTAAGTCCCTCTCCTCTAAGGAGGTCTGCGTAGTAGCGTCGGTTGCTGCCTTCTTCATTACGAATGTGTAATGGACCTTTACCGTACACATAAGGACCTAGAAAATCGGATTCATCCTTGTAGCGCCCTTGAAGTCGAACGTTGAAATCTCCCAGAATATAAACAGGTTCAGGTTGGGGAATGTTACTGACAATGTTTTCTAAGTGAGTCCAAAAGGGAGCTTTGCAGGTTTCCTGGTCCCGTTTGTTGTGGGGGGCGTAGACTCCTATGAAGTGTTTGTCTCCAGAGCTAGAGCTAAGAACTACTTCCAGGATTCTACTGCCATGCTGTGTGATGCTTTTCAGGAAAGGTAGAGCGCGTGGTGGTAGGACTGCGGTAACTCCTCCGTACTTGTCTTTGTTGTTACCGTTAACTATAAAAAGGTGTCCTGAGGATTTATATTGATGGTAAGTGGTGGCATGTGTTTCGGAAAGGAATAGCAAATCCAGGGATCTATCCCGAACCAATCCTAAAACAGCTTCATGTTTCAGCAATTCTGCCATTCCCTGAACGTTCTGAGTTCCTACCCTCAAGGGTGTTCCATATGGGAGTGGCGGAGTAGCTTGCGGAGTAGTCTGCGGCTTTCCCTGAAATTTGCCCTTCGACTCTCTCTTGTCCACAAGCGCGCGAAACAGTTTAGCCATTTTGTGACCTCTTCGGCGAAAGCTTTGTACTGCTTTCAAGGACGCCCCCCTCCTTACCAACGCGTTGTCCGGCGCCGTTGGCAATATGGCTTCCTTCAAGAGCTTACGCCATTGGCGGCAGCGGCGTCGCCGCTCGCGGCGTACTCTGGTGCCCCTTCCTAAAGAAGGAATGTTGGGAGGGGGGGGGTGGGGCAAACACTCTTTGTTTGCTGCCGTGGCAGCTCCCGGCGTGCCTCTGGGAGGCGGTGTGGCCTGATCCTTTACAAACGAATTCGATGAATTAAAAGGTCTGCGGGGGTGGCGTGTGCCAGTAAAAGTGCGGAGTGGTCTGTGGGAGAAGAAGTGTTTAACACCGTCCTGTCCCTGAAAAACCCTCCTTCTACCAGTTCTGAATTTAGGTCTGGGGCCTAGAGAGATAATGGTCTGTGAGGCTGGGGTCGCTCTAAACTCCAACAGAAAATCCCTTGAAAGCTTGATTTTATCAGGGCTCAAGGGGTTCATGGGCGCGTCCGGCGGAGTAGTCGGGATGAGGTTGTCTAGCAGTATGGTCGTGGGAGGGTCATGGTTGCCGTTAAGGGAGTGTTGCAGTTTATTTCGTAGGTTTTGGAGTACTCTCGGAAGGCCGCCGAGGCAGTTAAGCACCGATAAACTAGTGGAGTATACAATGGCTGCGTCCCCTATGACAATGGGAAGTGTGTTCCTATTAAAGGCGGTGTAGTAGTAAACGGCAAATACAACAACAGAATAAAGTCTTGCTATATGCCAAAGGTGAGGGGATTTAGAATGGGCGGAGTGTTTGCGTGGTTTTCTCCTATGCTCCTTACGCCTTATAGGTTCCCGGTTCCAACCTATTTGTTGCGGAGTAGCCCTCCAATCGGCGATCGCTCTAAAAGAAAAGGTGCAGCCGCGAGGTCTGTGTCCAGGGATCTTTGGCGGAGTAGAGAAACTAAGCCCGAACACTAAACCAAACCTAAAAGCTAAGGGCCTGGGATTAGGGTACCATCCTTCAGATGCCCTGGGAAACTGGGTCGCTCGACCCGAGGCCTGCCTGAGCCGGCGGCGGAGTAGAAAACTTCAAACGCTCCGCGCTCTGGCTCAACAGAAAATTTCAAAGGGGCGGCCTCGAGGAGCAACTGCAGCCATTGCCTGGCCACCAAAAGGTGGAGCGGAGTAGCCAGGGTGGCTTTCTCGCGAATTCTCGACGAAACCTTTCAAAGGCCGTCGGAGTTGAAAGAGGCCCCCTCGTGCGGAGTAGCCACAGCCGGCGCACCTTGGTAAGTAGCCTGCTTGTAGCTGCCCACTTTGGAGCTGGTCTCCTTGAACTTGTCGCAGTACTCATCCCATACAAAAGCGACGTCCGAGACCTTCGAAATGTACAAATCAATCGGGAAGGGATTGAGCTGGGCGGAGTAGATGAGAGGGGCCGTCCAATGCCGACCACCCTTCCCAACACTGATGCCCTTGGAGCTGCCTTTGGCTGCTCCCGCGGCATGTTTAAAAAGATCCCTCTCAGCAACGTCCAACTCGTGCTGCGGGCCGAACACCACCTTGTTCCAACAATAAGTCCAGATGCTGGGCTCATCGGTCATGAGCTCAGCTGGCGGAGTAGCATTGAGGATCTCGAAGAGGTCCGTGGTGATCTCGAGTGTGCCCTGGAGCTTGTCGTCGGAGGAGTAGTAGTGGAGCCTTGCCATCGCCTTGATCTGTGGATCGAAAGCCCTGACCTCCTGTGGAGCCATTATGGTCAGGGTTTTCCACAGGATAACGACCTGAGAAGGCTGCCCAGACTGCACATTGAGGGCCTGCAGGATTACCCGTATGGGTATCTCGAGCTTTCGCTGGAATTGTGGTGACGAAGGTGTTGCTCGAATGTGGTGGCCCCGAATAGGAGTAGACCCATCCTGGTAGAGGGGTACTCCAGAAGACCCTCCATGTTGCTCCATGAAAGCACGACGAAGGTCCCAACTCTTGAAATGGATCAAAGTAATATTGCTCCATTTCCCCTCTCCTGCTGGCGGAGTGGACGGGTCGGTGGTAAGGCAGTTCAGCCAAACCTTGTCGGCGGAGTCGTCGTCCAGCTTGTATCCTCGCGTCTGCAGAAAATGGCGAACTGCCGTGACCTGCTGTAGCAACCAGGTGACCATGTAGAGCCTGTCCTCTGGTGGCATAGTGTTAGACCACCCTGTCAGGATGACGACCAGTGCCGCCTGCTGCCTCTGCGTGGTACGATTTTCCGAAACCATCCAGCTCAGTTCCTTGCTTTGGCGGAGTAGACGGTCGTCGAAAGCCACCAAAGCATGCTCAACCTGGGTGATCATATTGTACAGCTCTGGGCGTAGTACTGCGGTGTGGTAGTGGCGAACTGTCTCCAGAACCTGTTGGCGCGTAGTAATAGCCTCCCCCAACCAGCGCTTCACATTGGCCGGGTCGTTGGCCTCCACTCCGGCTGCAAAAGCCGTGGCCTGAATAGAAGCCTCCTGGTCGAGCGGAATGGGCTGAAAAAGCGACTGCCGGCCTTGCGGAGTAGTCGGGGTGGTCTGCGCACCTCCTACTCCCATAGGTCCTCCCGGCGTGCCCATCGACGACATAGAAGGCGTTGGCGGTCCTCTCTTGTTGGCGCGCCTCTCCTCGAAAAACAAGGTCTGCGTGGCGGAGTAGACCGGCTGCGCCGTGAGCTCCGCCTGCTCACTGTACTGTCTCGATGCCAGCGCCAACTGACGCGCCAACCTCTCCTGCTCCGTCTGCCCCGACATTGGCGTGCGGAGTAGCGGGGTAGCCCTTTGGGAGCCCGCTGATCTCTGAAGGGCGGAGTAGCCCCTAAGCAAAAACTGTGAAACTAGAACGTACCATGCCAAGCTTGCGAAGTACATCCTGAAAAACCACCGTGCACATGCGAAAGGACTGGAAGCCGAGACGCCTTTTTTGGAATTTAGGGTACAGGATTTGGGGGCTTAGATTGTGGTTTCGGGTTCAGGATTTCGGGAGGAGCGGGGCACTTTAGCCAAAACCCGAACCCGAAGGCTTCCAGAACACCCAAAGCCAACGGGATCTCCATCGCTGTGTTGCTGAAAGCACGGGGCTCGGGGCTCCAGGAGCAAGCAGTTTCGGGGGACAGCACATGCTTAGCTGCCCTCAAATGCGACAGCCCAAAATCCTCACCCCCAAATCCTCAAACCTGAACTCTAAAGCCTAAGCCCCGAAGGCCGAAATGCTCCAGGGACAAAAGCCCTGTCAGGGCTGCAATTGGAAAGCTGCCGGTTTTGGATTTCTCAGTGCTCATGTAAGGGTACATAACCCGGACTAGGGCTTAGGCTTAGGCCTTACAGTTGAGGGTTGAGCGTTTGCAAAGGGACGCAACATACAAAAACCCTAAGCGGACATAAGGTCTTGCGGGTTGCACGGCCGTCGCTCAACACAAAATTGCGAAGCACAAAGCACAGGTTGCTGCGACGAGTCGGTAGGTTGACGGGTTCGGGATACATCATCAGCTTCGCGGGGTTTGAATCGGTATGCCCCAAAAGCCATCTGCCTTGCTGGGGGCGGCGGTACTTCTGGTTTGGCTGCGACGAGCAACAAGTGCAACTGGGAGCTCGAAGTCTACCCTCAACCCCAACCTAAACCTCGAGAGGTATGTCGTAAGCATAAAGTCATGCCATAGGCTTAGTACAAGAGCCAACGCACGTGGTATTTAATCTCTTCAATCCAACGGACAAAACAATCAATTTCTCGCTTCTGCCTCGCACTAGTCAACGCCGTCTCGAGAAGCCGCATGATGCAGAGTGACTCGCCAAGAACGTCACGAATTATGGGAAATACCTGGGCGCCTGGGCTTGCCCCAAGATACGATCGGGGCTTAAATACGCAGACACTGGTGTAAGAAATTGACATTGCATGGTTCAGTATTGGTCTACGGCTTATGGGTGCTTCATTATACAATACTTGATTCAGGCCCTCTTAGGCGGCCACTACTGTGCATCGTCGGACGAAGAAAGGGAACTAGGCGAGCCTGTGTGACGATCGAAGGCAATACGGAAGGACTCGTCGAGGAGTGCCTCCCGCCCACAGGAAAGCGGGGCATGCTGCAAAGGGGAGCACCGCTTGGCCATCGAAATTGCAAGAAGCTGCAGAGACCGCGTGAGCGCCGGCTGGCCTTCGTGCTCTCGTTGTTGATTCTGTTGCATTCGAGGTTGATGTGGACGGTGGGGTTGGTCCTCAGCGCATCTGCCAGCGCCTCTCAAGGAAACGCGGAGTCGAAATTGCAAGCTGCAATGGGCACCGCCTTGCCTTGGCACCATCGTCTCCGATTCTGTTCACTCCCAGATCAATGAGGGTTACGGTGCGGTTGGACTTCAGAGCATCTGCGAGTGCCTTTCAGGGGAAACGCGGGGTCGAAACTGCAAGCTGCAAACACCGCGTAGGCAACGCCCGGCCTTGGCGCCCTCGTCTCCGATATGGTTAAGCCGGAGTCCGATGTCGCTGACAGTGCGGTTGGACTTCAGGGCATCTGCGAGTGCCTCTCAGGCGAACGGCGGAGTCGAAATTGCAAGCTGCAAAGACTCCGTGGTCAGCGCCTCTTCCATGATTCTGTTCATTTTGAGGTCAATGTGAGTTACCGTACGGTTGGACTTCAGAGCATCGGATGCGAATTGCCGGCTGAAACCCCGCCGGGAGCACCGCCTGGCCTTGGCACCTTCGTCTCCGATACTGTTCACTCCCAGATCAATGTGGGTTACGATGCGGTTGGACTTCAGAGCATCTGCGAGTGCCTCTCAGGGGAAAGTCGGGTCGAAACTGCAAGCTGAGAAGACCCCATGGGCACCACCCGGCCTTGGCGCCCTGGTCTCCGATCTCGTTCCAACTGAGCGTGATGCAAGTGACGGTGCGGTTGGACTTCAGCGCATCTGCCACTGCCTCTTAGGGGAATCGCGCCGTCGCAATTGCAAGCTGCACACACCCCGTAGGCACCGCCTGGCCTTGGCGCCCTCGACTCCGATCTTGTTGTCTTTGAGGCCGATGGCGGTGACGAAACGGTTGGACTGCAGGGCTTCTGCAAGTGCCTCTCAAGGGAAAAGCCTGGTCGCAATGCTTGCGAAAACCCCATACGCACCACCGTGGCCTTGGCGCCCTCGCCTCCGATCACGTTGCTTTCGAGGTTGATGAGGGTGACGGAAAGGTTGGACTTCAGCACATCTGCGAGTGCCTCTCAGGGAAAGGCGGGGTCGAAATTGCAAGCTGCAAAGACTCCGTGGGCACCGCCTCTTCTACGATTCTTTTCATTTCGAGGTCAATGTGGGTGACAGTACGGTTGGACTTCAGAGCATCAGCGGGATGCGAATTGCCGGCTGAAACCCCGGGAGCACCGCCTGGCCTTGGCGCCCTCGACTCCGATCTTGTTGTCTTTGAGGCCGATAGCGGTGACGAAACGGTTGGACTGCAGGGCATCTGCCAGTGCCTCTCAAGGGAAAAGCCTGGTCGCAATGCTTGCAAAGACCCCGCCTGGCCTTGGCGCCCTCGTCTCCGATAGTGTTGCTTTCGAGGTTGATGCGAGCGACGGAACGGTTGGACTGCAGGGCATCTGCAAGTGCCTCTCAAGGGAAAAGCCTGGTCGCAATGCTTGCGAAAACCCCATACGCACCACCGTGGCCTTGGCGCCCTCGCCTCCGACAGCGTTGCATTCGAGGTTGATGAGGGTGACGGAAAGGTTGGACTTCAGCACATCTGCGAGTGCCTCTCAGGGAAAGGCGGGGTCGAAATTGCAAGCTGCAAAGACTCCGTGGGCACCGCCTCTTCTACGATTCTTTTCATTTTGAGGTCAATGTGGGTGACGGTGCGGTTGGGCTTCAGAGCATCAGCTTGATGCGAATTGCGGGCTGAAACCCCGGGAGCACTGCCTGGCCTTGGCGCCCTCGACTCCAATCTTGTTGTCTTTGAGGTCGATGTCGCTGACAGTGCGGTTGGACTTCAGGGCATCTGCGAGCGCCTCTCAGCAAAAACACGGTGTCGGAACTGCAAGCTGCAAAGACCCTGTGAGCACAGCCTGACCTTGGCCCCCTCGTCTCCGATGCTGTTGTTTTCGAGGTCGATGTGGGTGATGGTACGGTTGGACTTCAACGCATGTGCAAGTGCCTCCCAAGGGAAGAATCGAAATGGCAAGCTGCAAAGACCCCGTAGCCACTGGCCTTGGCACCCTCGTCTCGGATCTTGTTGCCAGGTAAGCTGACCAACGTGACGGTAAGGTTGGACTCCAAAGCATCTGCGAGTGCCTCTCAGGGAAACGCAGGGCCGAGCTCATCGTCTCCGGCTTGACTGAAACGAAGTTGATGTGGGTGACTTTAAATTCAAGAGACTTTGAGCACATCCAAATCTTCAGAACCGCTGAACGTCTGCGAAAGCACCGAAAAGCCAACTGGGACGTGACTCAAGCGTAAAGACTTTTGGTGAATACACGGCTGATCGTCAACTCCGAGCATACCTGTCTAAGGCTGCAATGTCCCTGTGGGCACCGCGCCTGGCAGTCCTCTGCCGTGATCTTCTTCTTTGCGAGTTCTAGACGAGTGATGGCACTGTTGATCGTCAGCTGCGATGCGAGAGCCTGACACGGACCACTGCGCATCTAAGCATGCAGAGACCGGGGCTGCACGGAGAACTGCACAGCAGTCCTCGATGCGCGCTCTTCCCGTCCAAGCCTGGGCTGAGCTCCGCCAAGTTGGTTGGGGAAGGCTCAATTGGCGCTCTGACACTGCAGTCATGCCAAGCACCCCCCCCCCCCACCCGAGCCCGGGTCTTTTTCGCAGCTGGATGTGTGTGTGTGTGTGTGTGTGTGTGTGTGTGTGTGTGTGTGTGTGTGTGTGTGTGTGTGTGTGTGTGTGTGTGTGTGTGTGTGTGTGTGTGTGTGTGTGTGTGTGTGTGTGTGTGTGTGTGGGGGTGTGTGTGTGTGTGTGTGTGTGTGTGTGTGTGTGTGTGTGGGTGTGTGTGTGTGTGTGTGTGTGTGTGTGTGTGTGTGTGTGTGTGTGTGTGTGTGTGTGTGTGTGTGTGTGTGTGTGTGTGTGTGTGTGTGTGTGTGTGTGTGTGTGTGTGTGTGTGTGTGTGTGTGTGTGTGTGTGTGTGGGTGTTTGTGTGTGTGTGTGTGTGTGTGTGTGTGTGTGTGTGTGTGTGTGTGTGTGTGTGTGTGTGTGTGTGTGTGTGTGTGTGTGTGTGTGTGTGTGTGTGTGTGTGTGTGTGTGTGTGTGTGTGTGTGTGTGTGTGTGTGTGTGTGTGTGTGTGTGTGTGTGTGTGTGTGTGTGTGTGTGTGTGTGTGTGTGTGTGTGTGTGTGTGTGTGTGTGTGTGTGTGTGTGTGTGTGTGTGTGTGTGTGTGTGTGTGTGTGTGTGTGTGTGTGTGTGTGTGTGTGTGTGTGTGTGTGTGTGTGTGTGTGTGTGTGTGTGTGTGTGTGTGTGTGTGTGTGTGTGTGTGTGTGTGTGTGTGTGTGTGTGTGTGTGTGTGTGTGTGTGTGTGTGTGTGTGTGTGTGTGTGTGTGTGTGTGTGTGTGTGTGTGTGTGTGTGTGTGTGTGTGTGTGTGTGTGTGTGTGTGTGTGTGTGTGTGTGTGTGTGTGTGTGTGTGAGTGATTGCCCGAATCCAGAAACTAGCTGCCAAATAGACCCCATATGGTGTTCCGGTGTTCCTGGACCCCGCGAATTAAATAACTTAAATTCGGAGCCCCCCCCAAGATTTAAATTGTTTAATTCTCGGCTCGAACTAACTACCTTAAATAATTTACACAACTTAAATAATGTAAACAATTTAAATAATTGAAATATTTTAAACAGTTTAATTTAAATAATTTAACTCCTGGCGGGGCAAGACCCCGCAATGTGGAGGATGCTAAGGCCCCGACTTGGGACTTCGTTGCATCTGCAGAGTCCTTCACCGCTTCTTCGATGTCCTGGCTGCAAGTTTCAGATCGAGCCACAAGCTCGCCGAAGCTTTGGGTGCCCCATTGTAATTGTGCCCCACGGCCCGAGGAACCCTATCATCTCTGATTCGATGACATGCCACGTCGATGCGTGTGACTGTATGGCGCGACTGCAGAGCATCTGCAGGATGCAAACTGCAGGCTGAAACACCGGGGAGAACCGCCTGGCCTTGGCGCCCTCGTCTTCGTGGGTGACGGTACGGTTGGCCCTCAGGGCGTCAAAGAGCGCCTCTCAGGGGAAATGCGGGGTTGAAATTGCAAGCTGTGAAGACCCTGTCAGCACCTTGGCGGCGAAGTAACCCACATCGTTGGGATAGTGGCCGAAGTCGATGTGGGTTACGGTGCGGTTGGACTTTATCACATCTGTCAGTGCCTCTCAGAAAAAAACGCGGGATTGAAATTGCAAGCTCCAAAGACCCCGTGAGCACCGCCTGGCCTTGGCACCTTCGTCTCCGATACTGTTCACTCCCAGATCAATGTGGGTTACGGTGCGGTTGGACTTCAGAGCATCTGCGAGTGCCTCTCAGGGGAAAGTCGGGTCGAAACTGCAAGCTGAGAAGACACCGTGGGCACCACCCGGCCTTGGCATCCTCGGCTCCGATATCGTTGCCTCTGAGGTTGATGTGGGTGACGGTACGATTGGACTTCAGGGCATCTCCGAGGGCCTGTCAGAGAAAGCGTGGCCAGAATCAAAGCTACCGCATCTCTGGCACTGCAAAGCTCGCGCCTTCAACAGAGCCAAGCACCCATCCCGACGACGCAATTCAGCGACTTTGATCTCCAGCGTTGTGATTGTGTCATTGAGCCCAAGTGCCTGGAAACAGCTTTTTGAAAGATTCTAAGACAAGCACCCTCGCGGCACGGCGGCAGGATGGAAGGCCCCACCTTGCAGAACTCCTCGGCCTCTACCTCACCCACCTCAATGTTGCGGAGGCGCAGGACCTTCAGCTTCCTGTAATCTTTCAGGGCTTTGGCCAGCCGGCCCAACTCGCCTTCCGGCAAGTTTGCCAGCAGCGCCTCTTCGCATGCCGCGACTTTCTCGTGGTAAATATCCTGCTGCAGCTTCTGCACTTCTCCAGCATCGTTCCGATGCGTGAATTCGGCTTTCTTCATGTCCTCTTGGAAGACTGCGGGAGCCATTGGGACTTTGCCCTTTAGCTCGCTTTCGGAGGTCGCTTCGGACCCCGAAGCGTCGATCCGCTGGTTCTGCTCGGACCGGCTCCTGCAAGAGGACCACTCCACCTCGGCCTTGCACCAGCCTCTATCCCGATACGGGACGCGGTTGTGCTTTAGCTCCTTGAGGGGACGGCCTCGGACGGTCTTGCTCTCAACATCATACACCATCACAAGATGCTCCGAGTTCTGCAGTGCGGCGTCCCAGACATCGTCTGGGGTGAGAGCTTCCAAGCGAACAGTCCAGTTGCATTCGTGGGCGTAACACATATGCATGTGACTCATGGATCTGTGAAAGCTCTCGTTTTGCGCCTTGGTCTGCCGCTCGTATTGAAAGAGAGATGTGTAATCGTAAAACACCCAGATCTCAGAAAAATAGGCAGCATCGTAGAGGCTTAAGCAGCTGACCAGCCGCTTCAACTGGTCGCCGCAGGGATCGGGGTGTTCACGGGTCTCCCAAGCATGTGAAACAGAAATAAGCATCGCGTCTCGGGCCCCTGCCGCCCACTCACTCACCTCCTCGTGGCTTACGAGGCCCCACTCTTCCTCGGAGTGCGGTGCTGGACGAAAGTAACGGCAACAGGCTGATTCACAGGCCTGAGGTCCACTCGGCTTCCTGACGTCGGGGCAGCAACCGCCCGTTACACAAGAGCTCGTAGAGGTACCTGCGACGCCACCCCAACAGCAAATATCGCAGACCTCCCAGAGTCTAGGTGCGACCCGACGGCCCGTGAAGGACTGCTCACATGCATGGCTTCCGTGTCAGAGGGGGAAGAGGCACTTGACCCGAAGAAGGCGGATGTCTGCGTACTTCAGGTACGCGGCCAACTTCTGTGGCTCTTCCAGGTTGAAGTTGGCCTTGCACCCCCAAGTGCTGCTGATCCCTTAACCCTAAACCCTACACACGAAGCCTGCTGCTGTGTGGGGCTGAGGGCTTACGGAGGTCTGGGGCTGAAGGTCCGACGGTGTGGGTCATCCTCACAAACCCCCCAAACTTCATGAGATGCAGCCGCTAGGGTCTCAAGCGTATCTGAGAGTTTCCGAACGAGGGAACCCTCACTCGCTGTTCGAACCAACTTCCAGAGCAGAAAGAAGGTGCTTCTGCATCTTTGGTTGAGATCTACATTCTGGGACAAATCCTGTTCAGGCTTCCTTGTGCTGCTACGGTAGCTATCGGAACCTATTTTCTGCCTCCCGAGTATATGTATCTGGGACGAGCTCAGCATTTTGAAGCGCAGGGAACCGTTTCGTTGTGCAGGGCCTGAGCAGGACGTCACAAGAAAGAAGCCCACACCTATGAACCCACCAACTCAATGCCACAACAGCAAATAAGTGGCAAGTTTCGGGCGGTCTCCTGCCTAGAGTAAGACGAGCAAATACCTCAACTTGCGAAAGAGCCAGAAGCAAATGCTTGTCACTCCTGACCCCGGAATCACCAGCGGTACCTTGGATGGCTTCTCCATGTCCATCCGACCACCCTGGCTTTTACAGAGTGGAGACCTCTCGCTGTTATCTTGAGTTCCGGCTTTAGGGTTACCAAGCTCAGGTTTGAGGGCTTCTTCCCAAGGTGCTCAGGCTTCTATACTGAACTTGGAACCCTAGCAAAAATCAGAGTTTTAGCTGTTTCTGAGGGATTATAATAACCAAAACATTGAGAATTATTCTAAGTACCCCTAAGGCTTGACAGTGAGTACTTTGGGCTTAGGGTTCAGGATCTTGGATTTAGGTCGCACTGCCTTAGGGTTTGCTTCGGTGTCAGATTGGCCCTACCCTGCCGGAGCACACTGAACTCTATTGGAGAACGCAGCGACCGTATCGATGTCAACCACCTCGACGCGAGTCGAAGAAAGGTTTCGTGTGGTTTTGAGGTTCAGAAGCTCCAAACCATGACTCCCTAGATCCTGATGCCAAGGGTTATGTGTTGGGGCTCGGGTTTTTCATGGAAGTGTGTAGGTCAGGTCTATGAGCTTCTGCAACATGAATTGCGCTTGAGGAGGCCGCAGGCGTGTTTGAGCTGAGTGCTGTGGTCCCGGAGAGGCGGCACCGCGGCGGCACCAAAAAGAAGCCACATTTGCGAAGCAAGCTGACGGTTCAGGGTTTAGGCTTTAGGGTTCCGCAGTTTAGGGTTTAGGCTCTGGGGTTTATGCTTCCACGGTTTAAGGTTTAGGCTCTGGGGTTTAGGGTTCCAGGCTTTAGGGTTTAGGATTTAAGCCTAGATCGTGAGTCTGGGTAACCAGGGGGCGAATCAGCCGGGAAGCGTCACCCAAAATACCGGGATCCTTATCTACCTCATTACGTTGGGAGTACTCTTAAATCAGGCACCCCTCACCTGTAGAAGCCACCCATAGATCTACGCATTCCTGAAAAGCATTAAGAAATCTTCCTGAACCGCTGTAAATCGTAAACGGCAGAAACCCCAGGACAAATCCCAAATGACCTACTTTCACAATATCCAAACAAAGCACAGGGAATGCTACCAACCTACAAGCACTGAACCAGCAAGCCCTGAATCCTGTTAACACCAGATCTGCCCAGGTACTATACTTTAAGGACTTGGGATCCGCTCATAAAGTACTCCCAATAACTCTGGCATTACAACTCCCCCGACCCTAAACTCTAAACCCTCCAGACAGAAAACTTGGGTACTATGATTTGTTTTTCCTATAGCTAAACCGAACTCCCGAGTAGACCTGATCAAGCGTCGCCTCTGTGTTCAACGTGGGTGACTCGTACTTACCTCAGACAAGCACTGTGAGAAAGGCCAATCCCTGGTCTCGAAAACAGCGAGAAGCAGGTTTTGATTATGCACAGACTTCTGGCCGCAAGGTGGACATCCTGCTTGAAGGCTCGGGCAGTACTGGAACATTCAGGTTGCGAGTACTGTTGCCCACGCTACAAGTTGCCATTACTTTACTCGGTGAGTTCCGGGAAATTAAAGCCTGACTGCACCCATCTTTCCAGGTGTCTCTTCCAAGGCATTTATATTTGAGGAGATCAGAGCAGCAGCTCTGCTGTCGGTAGTTACGGATTAACCTTTCGGATGTCTTCTGGGACTGAAGTGATGGGAGGCCAAAAGGGGGGTTTAAGATTCTTGGGGTAGGGATTCCTTTATATGAACCCCATTATGGGAACCCTAATTCCTACTAAACCCCCATAGACTAAAACCGCTTTTGGCCTCCTATGATGAAGCCTGTGTAACGTTGGGCTTGGAAGATTGCGGCATTGCCTCGCATTGCGCCCCGGGATCCAGAAGATTCTTGAAGCTTTGTTCCCCATAGCTTTAACGAGATGTAGCTTTCAGGACGAAAAAAACACGCCCAAACAAAAAACTCCGACAACCGACGATGCATTTTCGCCTATAGTCCTCGGAACGCTTCACTCAAGAGAAACTGTGTTCGTCAGGCCACCTGTTGACTAATTCCAACTCCCATCGGGCTCGAATCATTGTGTGAATTGGCTTTCCGCTTGGAGTCCGTTTGGGATCCTCAAAAGAATGCGTCCTTCTTTAAAATAAGGATCCTGTACAGGACCCAAATTTACAGAACTACCGAACGAATTGCACGAAGACCCATACCAAGTGCTGCCACTGAGCGATCTTCTCCCCAGGAAGAGCGTGGCCACGTTGAGGCAATGGGGTTCCGAGAGGCACAATGCCAGACCCTGAAACTCCAAAATCCCTTCACTAAGGAGTGTTCTTTACAGACTGCATGTGGCCTCCCACCGTGATCTCAGGAGCATTCCTTGATTCAGGGATTAGTCAGGAGTCTCCGGTTTCAAGCCTTCGTACTTTCAGGTTGGGGACCCGGTGGGTCTCGATGTCATTGGTCTTGATGCCTTACTTGTCCAGTATCCTAGGCAGTTAAATCTTAAGCTTTGGGATTATATAGGGATTAAAGTACCCCAAACTCTGCTATGACATGATGCTCTCTATGGCGCTATGCCTTCTCCCTGAGAGCCTGTGAAGCTTCGCTGGGCTCCTGCGAGTCTTACGGAGGCCCTTAACCCTAAACCGATACTAAACCTTAAGCAAGTGCAAGCCGAGGGAAGACTCGAACTGCTCTGTCCCTGTGTCTATCCGTGTTCTGGGGGCTCTTTTGCCTTCATTGCAGCAAGAATAGAAAAATCCTGTGAGCATAGGTTAGCTTCGGAATCGGTTTAGGGTTTAAGGTTTAGGGCCGGGGCTTTGGGGTTTGTCGTTTAGGGTCTCAGGGCTTTGGGGTTAAGTGCCGACTTCCCGCTTAGAGCTTTTAATGACATGTTGGTCGCTTGGACTGCGTGCATCGTGCTGATGAAATTTCTGCAGACTTTGTTTTGAGTTGGTTCACGGGTTTCGGCAGTCCGGAGTGCGGGTACTTCCCACATGGAACTCCAGTCCAGAGCAACCCCCTGGTGTCATAACCCGGACAAGCCGTGAGCCTCGGTTCGCGTTTGAAAGCAGACGGGGGTACAGCATACATTCCTTATCCTGCGGCCTTTTGAACCCGACGTAGGTACAACACCCTGTCTGGAGTAAGGCTTACCAAACCCCATAGAACCCTTAAAACGCCGCAAAAACCTCTGTAAGATCATATTTGTGAGACCTTATCAACCTGGGCCAATAAACATAAACTACCATCCAATCTTGCGAAGCCCTAAACACCCTTTAAAAGCCATGGAAACCTTCAAAACCTTGGCTGAAAACGGCCCCAAATCGCCTTTTTTGGGCCGACGCGGGCAGCCGCTGACTCGCAGATCTCTTGTGGATCTGCTGAGGATTTAGGGCTTTAGGCCCTAAACCCAGATCTTAAGTTTGAGAAGGCTCACGCGATCCCTTGAACTTAGATTTCGGTGCATTGATTCGGAAAGATGCCGATGAAGAGCCTTACTGGGTGGAATTCTGCTGCTTAGTAGGCTTTGGGTTTTGAGGGATCGCGCTTGTACGCGTTGACGACCTTCCTTGGAAGGCCGCCGTGAAACATTTCCCAGTAAACCCGCTAAAAAACCTTCTCGAAATCCTCATAATATCCTAGGAAAACCTCCTTGAAAAAGTCTGGAAAGCTCGATGCTAAACCGCTATATAACCCCGTCAACCCGCACAAAGGAGCGACAAGCCAGTCCTCGCTTCGACGTGCGCCACGCGTGCGTAGAACTCCTCCAGGGCAGCCTCGTACCTGACTTTTCGGAATATCAGAGTAAGGGTTTACCGGTTTACCAAAACCTACCAAAACCTACTTTTTTGTAGGGTCCCTATAAATTCCATATTAGGGTAAGTCGGGTTTGGTAGTTGAAGGTAGGGATTAGGGTTTAGTGGAGGTTTCGGGTTCAGGGTTTAGGGCTCAGAATCTAGGGTTTAGGTCTGAATTTGAGGGGGCAGAAAGGTTTTTGGAGTCTGTGGACACTTGGCTGGTACGGATACAACCAAATTCCGAACCCAACTTCACGGTCGAGGTGGCACGGCCGTCTCGAGACAGCACACTAGGAGCCCGACGCGCTGCATCTCTCTGTAGAAGTCTGTGTCCCTTACAGTACCCCTTATAGTAACCCGCATAAACCCCTTCTAGTCAACCCTTGTTGTATCCCTTATAGTACCCCTCATAGCAATCCTTATGGACCCCTTTGAAGAGGAATGTGGGAGCTTCTTTGCTTGGCTGCAGCTTCTTGTCGCGGAGGGTCAACGCAGCGACTTTTCTCTTGGCATCCTCGCGGCTGCTGAGGGATTTAGGGCTTCAGGGTTTAAGGGTTTAGGGTTGAGGGTCTACTTCTACTTTAAGGCATGTTAGGGTAAAAAATCTAGCAGGCAGTTGCAGGTTTATACATATTTTCGAAGACTTTTATTTACAGGGATTTGGCGGGGAGTGCTTCAAGGATCGGAGGAACTTGGCAAGCGCGGCATAAGGTAACTCTAGCTTTTGTTACTAGCATTGCGAACCTAGTTTCAATTACCCTGCACCTGGAAGTACTATAGGCATAAAACCTTAGCATGCCTGACCCGCCAGAAAAGTTTCACGAAGGCTTCGTAGGGCTTCGGTTTAGGAACTTCGCACCCTCCTGAACTGGGACTGGGGATCCACAAAAAGAACCGAAATTAGAGCACTGCCCGAACTCCTCCGAGAGCACACTGGAGCTGTGCGGTGGCACGCCATGGCGGAGATGCACACTCCTCGGTTGGGAGCGCTCCTTATTAATCAGCCTCTGAACTCCACAGAGACCCTAAACCACGTAGGTCTGTCTCGGATTAGAATCACTCAAAGGGTCAGGGAACTAGTATGCGAGCTTATACGCAAACTAGCCGCAGCTCCCCAATCACACTTGTGGTTCTTAAATATTCCCTAAACCCGACCCGAAACCCTCACCCTGAAACTTTAGGGCAAGGGTTTTGGGCCTAGCGGTTTAGAGGTTTAGGAGTTTAGAGGTTCAGGGTTTAGGGTATAAGGTTCGAACCCGGCGTGCAAAAACAGTCAAGACGCTCAAAGCCAGACCGGTCGGCACAGTCGCAGTTCGTCATCGGCAGCTGGAGCTGATACAGAAGCATGCACACCGAGGCGACGTAATGCTCGGAGATGCCAACAAAAAAGAGCGAGCGCATATTTGCCTGAGTGGGTCTACTACATGCCCGCTGCATCCCAAAAAATTGCAGTCTCAACGACTCAACGACTCCCGCGGACTACTAGGAATTATGGGCGGTAGTTCTCAAAATTGGTGTCCCGGGTCCCTTGAAAGCGGACCCGAGTTCAGAGAACTACCCATATTGAAATAACGTCCAAAGAGAACCCAATCGATTTCTGCTAGGCAGGGTCCCTGAGCCCCCCGAAATCAGGGTCTAGGGTTGAGGATGAGGTTGGGGACTACTTAAGCACCCTTAGAAGATAATATGGCGAATAATCCACTGGAGCTTTTCTCACAATGAACATCTAAAACAATCCTAGGAACACTCAAGAGAAGGGGTGGGGGAGGCCCTCGGGCTCACCGAGTACCATTGAGGGCTTGAGACCCTAAGGCTCCATGTACCCTTATAGTAGATACTTAGGCCTGAAAGTACCTATATAGGAACCCCTTTAAGGCCTAAGTATCTACCATAAAGATACATGGAGCCTATGGGAGGATAAGGCCCGGGCTTCAAGATGAGGGTTTAGAGTTGGGGTTTAAGGATTTGGATTCAGAGGTTACAGGTTGAGAGTGGGGGCCTTGGCATGGGGCTGCTGAGCTCAAAAAACAATCTAGGCATCGCAGAAGAAAGATAACACCTGGTAATTTACTAAGTCTACGAAGCAGACCCCTAAACCCTAGGACCCTGAACCCCAAACCCAATACCACAAAACTTTAACCTTGCAAACCCCCAACCCTCTATCTGTTGACTTCGGAAGTTGCAATGGCTTCAGTCAAATCGTCGGTCTGGTTCCTCAGCCGCCGGTGCCCGCCTTCCGGAAACGCCGAATCGTTGCATGTCCTGGGCCGCTCTTGGGGGGGTACCTTATTTGGGGGGTACTTATAATGGGGATCCTACGGTTTAGGGTACCATATTAGGGTAAATTATGGTCCCGCTTTCTTCTTTTCAAGGGCTCTTTTCTGTCTGCACGAAAGTCGGCGGCTTAGGAATCGCTCCTGTTTAGGCTTTAAGGTTCAAGCTTCAGGGTCTTGTACGTCTCTTACGCAGGCTTATCGGGAGCGGCTTGTGGGGGTTGTGGTGTGAACGGAGTAAGGACCTCTGAGAAAGCAATGAGACCAATGGGCTCCCCTTACGAGAGTCCAGTACCTACCGTTGAATCTGGAGCTTGCTTCATGTTGCATGTCCTCTGCACGTCTTTTCCTTGATACGCCGATCTTGCAACTTGCTGCTTCTCTTACTACATGGCGATACTACATGCTTTGGCCAGTGCAGCCCGGCGTCAAGTAGCGCACCTGCATGTTAAGCGGATGGTAGCCTCGGCAGAAGACGGGGGCTTGCAATCAGGAACCCTGGACCCTAGACCGCCGGGTTTGGGGGTTTAGGGTTTAGGGTTTAGAGTTTAGGGCTTTAGGGTTTAGGGTTTAGGGTTAGGGCGTAAGGGGCGTGAGGTGTGAAGATCGGGGCTTCCTTGGATGATTTTTGAACATAATCACAAACCCCTAAATACCCTAAGATTCGTGCTGCTTCCGGGCATGATTCTAGCGGTTAAACGGGAGGGGCTAGACTTGGACAAAAGCCGCCAAGCGCGTGAGTCGTAAGGTGACCCTAGACCCTAAACCCCTAAACCCTTAATCCCTGAACCCTATACCCAGGTTCTCGGGTTCTGCAAGCTGGGCTTCGGTTCCAGGGTGAACGTGACACGCTTGGCGACTAAGCAGTGTGCAACGGGGGGGGGGTTGGGGATGCAGAAGGGGTCGGAAAATGGATAACAATCCCAAATTCCGCTACAATCGCTATTCCAATCATAGTATAGTATAATCCCAAACCCTGTTCTAACACTTAAGGCCTGGAATTAGAGGTTTCAGGGCATCGAAGTGATACCTTCAGCGCCGTGGCTTCGAACAGATGCCTGGTGGAACCGGGTTTAGGGTTCAGGGTCTAGGGAACCTTTCAGGCAGCCCGCCTTGGAGGCCCCTAAACCCGAAACCACAAGGTTGAGGGTTTAGGGTTTAGGACTTAGGGATTAGGGTTTAAGATTTAGGGATTAGGGTTTAGGGTTTAGGGACTAGGGTAAAGAATCCTCAGAGACCCGCCGTCGCCCCAAAGCCCCCCCCCCCCCCCCCCAACCCCGCAGCCGCGAGGCAATTGTAGTACTCCTCCGTGTCCTCGGAAGTGAAATGCTCCAGCCATCGACTCCTCGTTGCGGGTTTAGGGGTTTAGGGGTTTAAGGTAAAAGCCAGAAAGTTGGAATATGATTATCCTAACCCTTCTATGGTAAATTATAGGGTATCCTACCATGAAACCATATTCCAACTTTCTGGAGTTTCCTGTAGGGGTTTAGAGTTTAGGGGTTTAGGGTCTAGGGAGGGTAGGGTTGCGGAATTAGGGGGTAAGGTTTCGTTTGGGTCCAAGGCTTAGGGTTCAGGGTCTCAAAAATCCTCCAAAAACACATACAGCCTTATGAAACCTACAACAAATCCGCCTTCAAAACACAACCCAAGGCTCAAGGCAGGCATGTAGCCACTGGTTAGGTTCTCTTCCGGATCTCGCGGGAAGTCCGTTTCCAGTGTCATGTCACGACCTGGGCTTAAGGGGTCTGGGGCTTAAGCGGGTTCCTTTAAGGGTTCTCAAGGCATCTATAGGAATTTGAAGCTTAGGGTTTGGGTTTGGGGCTCCGAGTTTCCCGTCCATATTTGGCCCTTGAAAGGTTTCTAACGGCCTGGGCTGTAGGGTTGAGTCTGAAGGTTCAGGATTTCCGGTTAGAGGCGTAGGCCAAGGAACGTTTAAAAATTCGGGCTTCCAGAAATCACAGGAGCCTGAGGAGCTCAAACTTTGCGATCGTACCGACCAAGCGGCCAAATGAGGAGTAGCTGCACTGCAGATACAAGGAGTAGACATGGTCCAGCGGATTTCGAAAGGTGGCGACAATGGGCACGTCACCTTCACCTGAAAGATGCCGAGACTCCAAAACCCAAAGAAATACACTTGAAATCATTATAGTGAGGAGCTTTTACTGGTCCTGACACTTTAGGCCAAAACCCGACCCGCACGTGCAGAACGAAGAACTACACGACTATGACATCCTGCGAAGAAAACCTGTAAAGAGTTTAAGGGAAAACTCCTTCAACGATGCAGCCCCCTAAACAACCCTAACCCCCACACCCTTCAACTGATACCATGACTCCCTTTAGGGCCTATGAACCGTAAAACCCTCTTAGGAAGCTTTGGTAACCAAAAGTCTGCTCCCTAAATCCCCCCCCCCCCGCCTCTCAGCACGTAGTAGCACCTCTCATCGAAACCCGAAGAGACGTGGCGGAATCGCACTCCCAGAGGCTTCAGCTGCTTGTAAAGCGAGAGTCCGGCCGTCTTCGGTATGTGCCTCTTTTAGGGTTTAGGGTTTAGGGTTTAGGGTTAGGGTTTAGGGTTTAGGGTTTAGGGTTTAGGGTTAGGGTTTAGGGTTTAGGGTTAGGGTTTAGGGTTTAGGGTTTAGGGTTAGGGTTTAGGGTTTAGGGTTTGGGGGTATATGCTTGGTTTAGGGGTATGTGCCTTCGTGAACACAACAGGCTCAGAGCTCAGCTTCAGTTATAAGCTCAACTAGGCTGCAAGCTCGTTGAACAGAAAAAGGCGCATGAAAACCAAAACACTAAGGCTTATGAACTCGTATAAGCTGTAAGTTTTAAGCGGGTGCTTTGCAAGAAGCGCCACAAAGCCAAGCCACTTAATGCTTAACACCCCAACCTTAAAGAACATTTTACAGGCTCACATAAGGGTATGATGACCGTACTATAATGGTACTATAAGGACCCTTTTAAGAGTACTATGATGGGCCAAGGTGCATCTGCGAGATCGTGGCATTTCGGTCGAGGACCGCCACTGTCTTCTGCCGCTCACGTGGAAGGCGACGCGAAGCCGCGACCGACAGCAAAGATGCCGGATCTGTGGAAACCTACAGGCTTTTTTTTTAACCTACAGGCTTTAGGGCCTTTGGATTTAGGGTTCAGGGTTTAGGCTTGAAGATCTGAGGTTTAGGTCTTAAGAATTGGGGTTTACGATTCTGGCTTAGGGTTTAGGGGCTTGCAGGATCACGAGACCTAGTGAGTACTCCAGAGGGTCCAGATGCACTACGTACTGTACCATCCCGGAAATATGGCCCAAAGACCATCCTTGCTGTGGGTTTTGGGACCTGCCTCCCTGGCTCCGTACAACCTCTCAAAATGCTGGAAAGTAAGACCTCTTCAACCCCAACCGGGGAAGATATGTCCTATCCCAATAGCCTACCTTTGTAAGTCAGGTTGGTATAGGGGTACATGATGACTTATGACGCCAATCTTACTGTTGCCTACCCATGACTAAGCACTTCGACAGACCAGGGTTTGGGCTCAAGGTTCAGGGGTGTGTTGGGGCTCTCTGGTGCCTTAGGGTTTAGGACTTCAGGGCTTTTGAGCTTAAATGAAGGCTTCCTAAGCGTCTCCTTCATTCAGGGGTTCCTTCAAGGGCTCTGATCGCGCTTTGGGCTGTAATATCGAAACCTGAATACCTAGGAACACTGTTCCGTGAAGCTCCCTCTTTAAGTTGTACCATAACATATCTAAAAACCCTACTCCAACTGTTCATGACATACTTTAGGGTATAGGGTTTTTTAGGGTTATACTCTGACTGTTAGCGCATCCTACCGTCTTCTGCTCCCTGCAGCCTCCGAGCTGCACCTTGGGCTGGCCGGCACCAGGAGAAGCAGAGCGACTCCAAGAAGGAGCTCCGGCGGGAGGCGTAAGAGGCGCCCCATCTATCGTGCATGAAAGAGACTTGTAGAACCAGGGTGGAGGGCTTAGGGTGTCGAAGGTTTGGGGCTTCTCCGAGTGGGCTGGGCTTGGAGGTTAGAGGAGTGCGCCGGTTGGGGTCCAGGGACGTGCCCATAAAAGCTCTGTCAGCTAAGATTGACTCCAGTGAACCTTCTCTTCTGGATCTTTCATCTCGGGGAGCTAGCTGGAGCCGAAACGACACGCACTTCCGATAGGGCCGAATGCTCTGATGGTGATAAACGCCAGGCAAAATCGACACTAAAGCCGGGCGGTTCGTCCTATGTGTCCCTCGTGGGACTTTGAAACAAGATCCACCACCTCTGCACCCTCAGCATTACCAACATCACTTAACGAAGAAGTTCTCCTTTATCCTATAGTAACGATCGTCAAGACTTGACCCATAAAGAAAGGGATCCAACTCTACATGCCCGTATCAAACCCTCCTAAGACCCGAAAAAGCCCTTACAAAACTATTCGAAAACGGATCCGCAACTAGCAGACACTGGAGCTTCTAGCACTCAAATCATTCTACGCAGACCATAACCGCAAAATTTCGCTAATGTTGCTAACGATTCAGACCTCTACCATATCTTGTTCAATCCTTTAGTAAAGAATCTCGTCTACATGAAGATTTGTCTCATCGCGTCGTTTGGGGTTGTAGAGGCCCAAGTCCTAAGGTATATTCCACCATGGAGGCGCAACTTGGCATTTCTGGGTACCCGCTTCAGCGCACTGCTTCGAGCTAGCTTGGGAGTCTGAGCTCCCAAAGTCAAGCCCAGACCCTAAGCCTGAACTCCCGCAGCCCTCTAGGGTTTAGGGTTTAGGGTTTAGGGTTTAGGGTTTAGGGTTTAGGGTTTAGGGTTTAGGGTTTAGTGCTTGTTGCCCAGCTGCAAGCAAGGTACCTACACCGACAGGACTAATAGCGGGTGTAAGTACAGTTACAAATTGTATAGCCTTACAGCCTGAAACCCTAAAGCCTAAACCCTCATCCCTAAACTCTATCACGAGATTCTTCATATACATATGTACATACATACATCTATATATATATATATATATATATATAAGCTATAAGCATCTCCTCACTTCGGAGCTGAGGTCCGGAAAATCTAGAAGTCGCTAAGGATCTAAGTTTGTGCCTGTCGCGCTTTGACATTTGGGAGTTTCCGAAAATGGGGGACCCTAATATAGTACCCTAAATAGTAGGATCCTTATTATAAGGACCCTCAAATAGGGTACCCCTAATTTTCGGAAAGTAGAATGTGGTTTAAGAGATTTTCAGCTCCTTCAAAAGCCCCGAAAACCCTGAGCCCCGACAGCCTAAACCCCGAATGCCATGTAACCCAAAGCTGTCATTCCGGAGGCCCGGAATGCTCAACCACATAACTAGGTGGGGCTTTTAAAGCCTTCGAAAAATATCAGTAAATTAGATCCTCTTAAGCCCAATAAGGGAAAATATAAAATGTCCCAAAGCCCTACCTTGATAAGACCCAAAACCCTGAAGTCGATGCGTTGGTTTATTCCGTCGCGCGGTGACGAGGTCCGGTGTCCAAAAGGGTTTAGGGCTAGGGGTTTACAGGGCTTCGGGTTTTGGGGCTATGGGGTGTGAGCTTGGTTCTTTTGGGGTGTGAGTTTTAGGATTTAGGGCTTCACCGGCTTGGGTTTCGGGTTAGGGCTGAAGATTTACGTCGATGATGCCAGTGGCGATTCCTTTGGCCATGGCCCAATGATCGTAGAGCACCCAGACTTCACCTGATTAGGGTTTAGGGTTTAGGGTTTAGGGTTTAGGGTTTAGGGTTTAGGGTTTAGGGTTTAGGGTTGGCGATTCGACAGGCATGGCTCAAGGTCTCGATTCTGTTCTACATGATCTGGTAACACGGATTTTTTAGGGGGCTTAGAATAGTTCTATATGGCCTCACGGGATTCTGGCAGGGTTTCGGTCGAGGTACTTCAATGATTTAGGAAAGTCATCATGACCATAAGTATAATTATAGCTACCTCACTTGCAACTCGACTTACCGGGACCTCTGCCTTCGGAAGTACTAAGCACCAGCAAGTCACGACTGCGCACCCAGATCTGCGGATCGCCATCTGGGAAATACCTGACGCTTCTGGGCTTTTTGGGTTCCTTCCATGGATTCTTTAAGGGGTCCCTAAGTGTGTTGGAGGGCTTGGGTTCAGGCTTTGGGGTGAATAGCTTAAATTAAGGGACCAGGGCTCGAGGGTTTGGGGGCTAAGTGCTACAGGGTTTGGGATTCAAGGCTTGAGGATTGGGGTTTAGAGGTGTGGCTGAGGATTTAAATCTGCAGGGCTTCAGAGCGTGACAATCCGTACCCCTGAATCCTAAATCGTCAACTCTAAACTCCAATACCTGAACCCACTGAACCCTAAGCCCAAAAATCCGAACCCTAAAACCCGCCCCGAAGCATCGGGTCCTTCGAGCCCCCCAAGCCTCACCATCCGGACTTCGAAAAGGTAAAGAGACCCAAAGACGGTTGAATAGAGGAGCCTTTATGCTTAGAAAAGGGCTTTGGGGCAAAATGACAATTGGGAACCCCCCCAAAAAAGGCGCCTTAATGATTAGACTAGGGCTTTGGGGCCCATTTATACTAGAATGATAATAAGGAAACCCCCAAAACAAGGCGCCGTATTGATTAGAATAGGGCTTTGGGGCCCATTGATACTAGAATGATAAGAAGGAAACCCCCAAAACCAGGCGCCTTGATGCTTAGAATAGAGTTTGGGGTCTGGGGTTTCGGGCTCAAGGTCTGGGCCTCAATAGTTAGAGTAGGGCTTGGGGGTATGCTTTTGTCATTGTAGTCTAGTATCGGTAACATAGGAAGCCTAGGATGCAGTGCATATTCTTAACTGTTCAGCTTCCGGCTTAAGGGCTGCTACACTGTCTAGGTATCAGGGTGTGACTGCGCTGCTTTAGTCGGCTTTACGTCTTACGGGTTAGGAGGGCTTCAGAATCTAGGGAGGGCTCTGAGCTGCAAGGGCTTAGGATTTGTTTAGCACAATTACGCCCTACACTCCTGGACACCGACAATCCCAATCCCCACTGTCTTCATCCCGAAATTGCATCCAAAGCCCTCCAAGCTTAACACGCCGCTGAAACCTAAAACCTAACCTCTGGCAGCTCGAGTACCCCAAAGCATAAACGCCCAACACCCCCCAGCTCCGAAAGAACAGCTCTACCCAAAACCCCGAACAGCCCACCAACGTTGCATTTCCCGAAACCTTGAAGCCCTTGCTGTGGCAAGCCCTGGGCGTTGAAACCTTCACAAGCCCTACAAACTTTAAAACCCCACAACCCCAAACCGCTCCCCAACACCTTCAACCCAAAGCAAGCGCCCAAACACCCTTAACCCGAAGAAAGCCCCGAAGCACCCCCGAGTCCCCCCGCCCGAGGTTGCGCGCCCGCCAGCTCGTCAGAAACTCGCTGCCCTGGCTGTGGACTACCGCCGAGACGCCTTGGATCTTGGGTTCAAGGCTTCTTTGTTGGGTCGGGCCTCGGGCTTGGGGTTTAGGGTTTAGGATTTGGGGCTGTGGGGGTCCTCTTGCGCACGCCGGCCACTGCAGGACTTAAGAACCCTAAAGTTTAGCCTCTGTCCACATTCCCTGAAAGCCTGAACCCTGAACCCGAAGCCCCGTACTCTAGATTTCTACATAGTGTGGGCGTGAGTACCTGAGTAGAGGTCCAGCGCAGACCCGCAAGAGCGATTCGACGGCCAGTCCTGGGGCACTCTTTAAGTTTACCCAGGGTTTAAGGTTTAGGGTCTAGGGCTTAAGGTTTAGGATTAAGGGTCCTAAGCCCATCCTAACAGCCTACACCCCTAAACCAGAAACTCGAAAGCCTAAACCCCAAAACCCTGCACCCGAGAGCCAAGCCAAGCAACCCGAAGCCAACCTGAATAGAAAATTACTATAGGCGAGAAAAAGGTGCCTAAATTATTACCGCTTTGCGGGGTTCCTTATTATGATTTTAGTGTAATATACCCCAAAACCCTATTCGAATTAGGAAGGCCCCTATATTATATCATGCAACAACCTCTGCGCTCAAGGCTGCAATGTCTACTCCTTCTCCCGAACAATTCAAAACTCTAGACTCTAGACCCTAAACCCCACACCTATAGACCCTAAACCCTACATCCTTTCTGCAGGATGCCCCGTTGAGCATTGAGAGATCCCCTCAACTTAGTTTGCGAACTGCTAAACGCCGCCCGAAGTCCAAGCTGTAGGGCGCCATCGCTGGCACAACGGCCCAGGCTGGGAACGCCCGGGCCTGCGAGGGAAAGCGATGTCAACCGCACATCTACTTGAGTGCGGGGTGGTTTAAACCAACGCATGAATTACTTTACGGCCCCAAAAAAGCACATAAGCAAGAATAAGGATAGGGATATCCCATATAAATCGCCTTATACTGAAGCCCAATAAGGTAGGGATATCCTTATAACATGCTTATGCTTATGTGCTTTCTTGGGTCCCGATACTTACCCAATCACAAAAACCGTGATTATAGATACTTAGGATGTGATTCAAACTACTACTGAGGTGATAGCAACCTGATCCTCCAAGGAACGCTAATAAGTAGCGGTTTCTACACCTAGTCCAACCATCCATACAAAGTCAAACGTTGGTACTGCAAGGGTTGAAAGTTGGATGGGTCAAAATTAGCGAGGCGCATGCCAGCCCAGTGCCTTATCTTTCGTTTCTGTTTGTTTCGGTTGGTTAGGCTTGCCAAAGACATGCAGAGGGCCTTGCTGCCCAGAAAAGTCTGCAGGGTTCGGATGGCTCGTCGCAAGTGGTCCTGCGTCAACAGTTCGATTCTGCTAGGAGCTCGGTTCTGACTCTACCGACTGCAGGATCCAAAATTGAGGGATTGAGGCTTGGGGTTTGCGGTTGCTTGGAAGTATAGGCTTTGGCGACTTGGGTTTTGGGTTTTAGGTTTAGGGCTTGGGCTTCGCGGCCCGAGCTTGCGTTCAACACAACACATGCTGGATGAGCAGACCGAAACCGACAAGCATACCTACTTGCAAGCTTGCTGCTGTGGCTGCTGTTGTTACAGTATCATATTCCGGGTATTGTTGTTGCACCACGGGTGCTGTGATGTCGATTTCGATGATTCCTTGGTGCAAAACTGCTCCTGAAACTACCAAGACTCGTACTTGTATCAGGAATCAGCTACTGCGTCCTGACTCGAGGTTCTGTTCACCCGCTGTAAAAGCGGGACGCTGCAGATAGTGACGGACACCGATTTACGCTCTTGACCCTAAACATCCCCGAACTACAGGATCCTTTGGGTACAGCCCCCACTCAGTAATAGTTGAATAGTATTCGTAATATAGATATATTAGGACCTTAATAATAGCCCTATTATTGACTCTTAGTGTAAGGGGGCCGTACCTAAAGGATCCTTCTTTTGCTAGAAAAAAGACCCCCAATACATGGGTGGTTGTCAAAATTATGGTCCCCTTTTTGGGTCCCTATTATAATACGGCACCTATGATTTAGGGCGCCCACAAAGGGACCATAATTTTGACAACTGCCCACATAATGCTGTATGATGGAGACCCGAAACACCAGAACCCAGACCCTTAAACCTCAAAAAGCAAGCCCCCGACCTCTCAACCCCCCCCCCCTAACAAACACACAAGCTTGCAGTACCCTTAGAGTAGCACGAGCAGCAACCTTGTAGCAGTCTTTAGAAACCTGATAGTAACCTCATGGTAGCCTTATAGTAACCTTATAGTAGTCTTATAGAAACCTGATCGTAACCTTATGTCAACCTTACATCATAAAAGCATCGGTCCGGATGTGCCAGCACGACGAGGGACTGAGCGGCTGGCTGCTGCTGCAGGATGTCCTGCATCATGGCCTGAAGCAGCGGGCTTTTTGTGGCTCTTGACATAAACAACTTGTCCGCCCGTATCATGCAGTGGCGGTTTGCAGGATGTCCCCATTGTTGCGCATTGACTACATGAGCTCTTCCTCAAAAGCAACCTTAGCCGACCCTTCAGACCTTCGGGTGGTCGAAAGTAGGAGGTTTTTCAGATTTGAGGTTGCTCTTGGCACGTGTGTGGGACAGGGCGAGGCGTTAAAAGCTGTCCCCTCCCCATCTGCAAACTTCCCATTTTTGTCTCCTTCTGCTCCAGACACCCGGTGCACTATGCACTCCACACTTCACGTTCGTCACTGCGAGATCCGGCCAAGGAGTCCGGTATCTGGCGCCCTCCACCATCCACGGACCCTCGTAGGAGGCGATGCACCAGGCTCCGAAAGGAGGCCTTTCTGAGCCTACTCCACAGTTACTTTAAGGTTATTATACGGTTTACTGCAAGGTCACCATAAAGTTACCTAAAAGGGTTGCTATAAGGTTACTATGAGTCTATTCAAAAGGGATACTAACTACAAGGTTACGAAAGCTACAAGGTTACCTAAAAGGGTTACTATAAGGTCACCACAAGGCTACGAAAAGGTCCCAGAGACTCCAATATCCCTTACTTAATTAAGGAATATACCTTAAATCATATTAGGGATCCTACTATAATTTAAGGAATATTCCCTTAATTAAGGGATATTGGAGTCCCTGGGGCTACTATACAAGGAGGAGTCGCAGCGGGTTAGGCTGAGCCGGGACTGAGGAGTCCCTGCGCCGAGTCCAGATCTGACAAAGATTCCGCCGTCTGCTTCACCACCTCTAAAGGGTTTAGGGGTTTAGGGTTTAGGGTTTAGGATTTAGGGTTTAGGGTTAAGGGTTTAGGGAAGGCTTCCTTTTGGCAATCCTATAGTAACCTTATAGTAACCCTAAGTAATGTTATAGTAACCTTGAAACCTTGTAGTAGCCTTATAGATACCCTAGCGTAATCTTATAGTGTAATCTTATAATAACCTTATAGTAACCTTATAGTAAGCCTATCGTAACCTTATAGTAATCTTGTAGTAACCTTATATAGTAGTAACCTTATAGCGACCTCCGAAGGGAAGGCGGGCAAGCGAGCGCCGTGGTTCAGGGCCAGCACGCGTAACTCAATGACCACCCAAGCTCCCAACAGCATGCCCTCGACGTCCAAAGGCCTCTCCTCAGCGTCAGCGCAGACATGCCCGTTTGGGGTTTAGGGTTTAGGGTTTGGGGTTTAGGGTTTAGGGTTTGGGGTTTAGGGTTTGGGGTTTAGGGTTTAGGGTTTGGGGTGTCCTAACTTTTGGTCACATGCGATCGGGAGTTGCAGCCCAAGTTGCAGCTCCACTTCGCAACAACCAAACGCAAACCAATGCCCCCAACAGCGCTGGGGTGGCGTACATCTCGTGCTCTGCGTAAAGGATCCGGGGGGGTTTTTGACCTCGGCTGCAGCTGCATGACACAGATCCGAATCAATACAGTCATATGGAAGGCTGAATAAGTAGCAAGACTGGTTCTTGCATTTGCATGCCATACCCCAACACCCAATTCTAGTTTTTCTCAATCCACGTCGTACAACCCTAAAAGATCGTGTAGAAAGCCTTATACCCCATCCAAGTCCTTTGGCCCACTACTAATCCCTGCGGCCCCTTTTTACCCACCCTTAAAGGAGCCCTTGAAGGAACTCTTATAGTAGCCCTTCAGGGAGCCAGTATCGGAACCCTTAGGGGATCCCTTTCACGAACCCTAACCTTCTTAGGGAGGCCTATCGGAACCCTTACAGTAGCCCTTAGACTAGCTCTAACGCACCTTCCAAGCAAGCCACTCAGGCCACTTTTATTGTTGTTTGTTGCAGTTATAACGCTTATTGTTACTGTTATTAGTTTTGTTCTTAGCATTTGTATTATTAATATTAAGATGTCTATCATCATATCTATTATGATGATTGCCTCTATACAACTATTGTTATTATTGTTATTGCCATTATTGCTCTTAACTGCTGGAGTCATCGATAAAAACGCTTGGGGTCGGGCATAAGATGTCCCTGACAAGCCCTCCGAAGCAAGCCGTGCTGAGGCCGCAGAGGGCACAGGCGCCTGGCCAGGGCCCCCAGAGACTCCAATATCCCTTAAAGGAATATACCTTAGATTATAGTAGGATCCTTAATATGATTTAGGGTTTAGGGTGTTTTTCCTCTTCAGGGCCTCTTTCTATTCCGCAGAAGGTCTAGAGAGCCTTGATTGAAGCTAGGGTTTAGGGTTTGGGGCCGAGGGGTTTAGGGGGTTTAGGGGCTTTAGGGGCTTTAGGGGGTTTAGGGCTTTAGGGCTTAAGGGGTTTAGGGTTTAGGGTTTGGGGCCGAGGGGTTTTGGGGATTTAGGGGCTTTAGGGGGTCTAGGGGGTTTAGGGCTTAGGGGGTTTAGGGTTCAGGGGTTTAGGGCTTAATTAAGGGGGTTGGGTTTGAGGGCTAAGGGGTTTTTAGGGTTTAGGGGTTTAGGGATTACTGCTTCAAGGCTTGGGGTTTATGGGTCTGGGGTTTCGACCTAAGATTTTATGACTTGATACGTAGACTAGGTGATCTGACTCACAGGTTCACAGGCAGGATCGCTGCTCCAGCAGCTGACTTCCATCAGGCAGCATCCATCACCAACTTACCCCAGACCCCGTTCCTGCATGCACGTGCTGGTCCGGCAAGCATGCTGCAATGCGCGCCCCGAGCACTGCAAAAGCTGCTAAGCCCACAGTGTCTGTCCAAAAGACCTGCGCATGACGAAGGTGCGGTTTGGGGTTCCGGGCTGAGGGTTTAGGATTTACGGTCGAGCCTAGATACCTACTGTAACTCAAATCAGATGTCAATCCGGCGCAAAGCCAAAAAATGATGCGAGTCACAAACTCCCCCTCAGCGGTGATGCCATAGCTTCGAGCCAGATATGGCAAGCCGAAGAATGCTCCAGTGGAAATACACATGCCTCGATTGAGCAGACAGACGACATGGAAGCATTCCAGAACTGGGTCCCCAAAAAGTGCTTCCGCTACAGTACTTTCAAGCTGGACTTTCTTTAGCTATGCTAGACCTCGCTCGCGAGGCTTCAGCGTCCATCTTTCCCCAGTGCCGAGGCACAAAGAATGGCCTCGTCATAGTGGGTGGTCCAGAAGATGGGCGTGCGACCCAAGATCACATCTCGGATGGTTCCTCGGCAGCTTTCAAGCCTCGCGCTCAACCAGCCATTCCCAGAGCTAGATCGACCCACAAAAGCGGCACGAGGTATCTCTCAATGAAAAAACGGCCAGCTAAAAATGACAACTTAGCAAGTCCAATTGCATGTACCCACACCCGCATTCCAATCCAAACCATCCAAGGCTCCACCTCCGAGTGCGGTGATAAAGCCCACCAAGTTGCCTGTGCGTGGGGATTTGATCTTGATGTTGCCCTTGTTGCTCACCCCACAGAGCTATGTTGAATAATGGCGTGGTTGCCCTCTACGAACTCGATCACTCTCTCTTTCCCCTTCTCTCACACAAGCCACGCTTCCCTTGCAGGCAGATCCAGAGCTTGCTTGTTTTGCACTCTCGCGGCCAGCGATGGATCGTCTGTGCACGGGATGGCTCTGTCCCTCGGAAGGTCACAGAAGACGAATAGCTTTTAGCGGGCAATGCTTTCTAGAGCATGTGCTCATACTTGAGCCAAAGTTGCGTGGGCGGAAAGCATACAGGAAGGTTTGGCATTGCGGTGTGCGTAGCACTTCCACAAGCCTCAACCTAGAGACGAAGGACGCGTAGCGTGCCTTCTCTCTTGTCCTATACATCACCTTGCTCACAGCTCTTATCGTGACACCATAGAACTTGACTAGGCATCGCAGTCCGTTCGCACCCCCCATGAGTTGCGTCTCCGACGCTGCTCACCCGGAAGATGGCGCGATAGGAACACTATGGATTAGCCCGCCGCAACTTTGAAATACGGAATCAGAGCCTTGCATCCCAATTAGAAACGGTGTGACACTCAACTACGTCGGTAACGATCCCCTGAAATGACAAACGAATCAGGCGTCACCGAAGAAAGAGGCGTTCGCAATGAGGTTCGTGAGCGAAGCGCAGAGGTCACGTTGATAAGCCGATCATACGTTGTCCCGATACCACTGGCGAGTAGCCGCGGGATCATCGGCAGGATCACGCTCCCAGGGTCGAAGATTTTGTTCTGGGTATGGAGATCTGCCCTTCCCCTTGGCCTTCCCTTTGTTCCTCTTGCCCTCGATGAAGTCGTGGTATGAGTTGGAATTCCATCCGCCATGTTGTCCACCTCCTTTCGGGCGAGATTTGGGAGCAGCAGTAGATGCGGAAGCACTCGAAGTTTCCTCTGCTGTGACAGGTGTATCCATGATGGATGTCTGTCCGCGCGGAAGGTACTCGTCGGCTGAGATGTGATGCAATATTTCAGGACGGCGTGCATTTGGACGCATCTGTCGTTCGACCCTGCTGTTACGCAGTCTATCCAAGGGGTGGGACGGCATCTGCACGTTGTGATCCACGAGCAATCCGATGGTCTGGACCGAATGGTCCGTGTGCACCAGTAGGATCCCGACTGGGTCGATGTACAGAAAGTCCACTGGTCCCGTTGGCGTGGGTCGAAGAACAGAAAATTGTGAGTGTCCTGTTACCATGGGAATAACTTCGCAGAGGACATTCAAGCAGCAGAAGTGCATCACCTTCACCTCGCTCTCGTCCTTCAGGTAAGTGCTGGGATTGAAGTTCTCCCTGCCAATTCCCATCATGTTGGCTCCTCGGATCAACATAGAGATCAGCTGGTGCGTTCGGAAGCGCTTGAGAGTGTAAGTCCCGTTGGGATCATACGACTTGGCGTTTTCCGGTTCTTTTGCAAAGCGGATGATTTCCTCATCAGTCACCTCTCTGCTTACTCCGGTGCTTGGGTCCACTCCTGCCAAAACACCCCACTTTCCAAGCACATCATAGCGTTGACCGTTGGC